TTGCACGGAAAAAAGAAAAAAAAAAAAGAAACAGCCATTCAATTATTTTGTTTTGTTTTTTTTTTTAACTTATTTAAAGATCCAGAGTGATGATAAAGAGCGGTAAAGAAGGAAACAATGTTATGCAGTATCAGGTTCGTAACTGTACTATATACAAATTGATCAATTGGCATATATATAAAATCTAAATGGGACCATCGTTATCTAAAGAAAATTGATGATGGAGTAGACTTTAAATTATACCGTGTGCAAAAGCTTATTCTATCGTTTGCAAAAAAAGCCATTCCTCTTTTTCAGTTCCTGATGACCAAGTGTGTTGGGCGGGGTATACTAAATACGGTATTTGTATTTTCGCATACCATAAACAAAGTGGCTGCCCCTAGATTCAAACCTACCTTTTCATGGTTCGTAACTTGAACTTTCTACAACTGCAGCAAACAATAGCCCTATTCTAAAGCTTGGCAATGCTCAACAGAAAACTAGGTGGCAGTTGTGAAGTTAATTGGATGCATATGATGATTAATATTTCCATTTAAGTACAAAGGTAGGGAAGAAAGATGTTTATATAATTTTATTGGAAAGAGATGTAACGTTAAGGAACTATAGTGGTGAGGACCAAAGAGATCTTATTGACAAATGGTGGTACTGAGAAGAGTTGAAAGTAATTGTAGTCTAGGTAATGAAACCTGTTAGGCCATGGAAACTTTTTTTTTGGTGGGTAAACTTTTTTAAGTTCTAGCGAAACTAAACTGGACCCGTATTGAGCACTTGGTTAAGTAGTGTTTGGGTGGGTAATTTTTTGGGTTATGAGCTGAGTTATTGTGTGTTAAATGATCTATCTAGGAATAGGAAGGAGAAGAACTCCATATAAGTTTGGTTTCATAACCCTTAGGTAGTGTTTTGTTCATTAGAATGAATCGGAATGGAATGATCATTCTATCAAAATATTCATTCCTATGTTTTGTGTCTATGTTAATCAATTTTAGTTGAATTGAACTTGTTAATATAAATTGTTGGATGTGTGTTCCATATATGGGTATGAAATCCATGTTCTCATCATTTGGTGTAACTCAATTTCCTAAAATTTGTTATTTCTTCTTCTCTTATTAGGGAATATCAATATGATTGTTTGTGTTCTAATTTATGTTCTCTAGGATTTTTAAGCATTGATAATGTCGGAAGTTGGAGCACACTCTCAAGCAAACTCCCAATTACCCGTTGATGGTTTACAACCATCAAGATCGGTTGAGAGTGAGACCTCTCTACCATCACAGCCTCCCCTCCCCAATCAAAATGTCCTTGATGTAGATGATTCTGATTCTAGTTTAGCTACTAGAAAAAACCCTAGTTTTGTATGGCAACACTTTAAGAAAGAAGAAATTGATGGCGTATGGAAAGCCATATGTAATTATTGTAAGAAGCATCTTGGGGGTAATCCGAAGCATGGAACTTCACATTTGCGTGATCACTATAAGAGTTGTCTTAAGAAAAGGGAGGGAATGGACATGAGACAAAGTGTTTTAACTAGCAACTTTAATAAAGAGAGTCCGAGAGTCTCTTATAGTTTTAATGAAGATATTGCTAGGAGAGAGCTTTCAAATGCCATAATCTTGCATGAATACCCTTTGTCTATTGTGGATCATATTGGGTTCAAAAGATATTCGATGGCACTTCAACCATTGTTTAAAGTACCTTCTCGAAACACAATAAAAAGTGATATTTTGAAGATCTATGACAATGAGAAGGAGAAGATAATGAGATTGGTACAGAGCAATCAAAGTAAAGTGGCAATCACAACTGATATGTGGACTTCTAGTAATCAAAAGAAAGGGTTCATGGCGGTCACGGCACACTTTATTGATGATTCTTGGTCATTGCAAAGCCGTATTTTGAGGTATGTTTTTGCATATATATTAATCTATGCTTTATTACAGATTGTTATCGCATCATATATCATATGCATATAAATTAATTTATGTTTTAATTTATGATTTTAGGTTCATTTATGTTCCATGTCCACACACAAAAGAAGTTCTTTGTGATACTTTACTCAATTGTTTGATGGATTGGGATCTTGATAGAAAAGT